AATGCTTTCAAAGCTTGCTCACTATTGCTTGCTGCTCATACCGTACCTTTAAAGGCACAATATGTAGTTTTTTTCGCCACAAGAGGGGGCAGTTTCCAACAATAACAAATGACGCAGTGATGAGCTGAATGATGGGACTTGCTGTCAAGCTGATGAATCTAATAATGTTTATGGATGAGTGCAAACATTCATGTTTTTTAACATTACAGTGGTATGAAGCAGGTCGCGATTGCTAAAGAGACAGATATCACACGCGAGTCCCGCGGATATAAAGGAACAAGGACATTTAATTCTACCGAACTATCCGCAAGTGCTGGATTACTCACACAGGTCAGTTTATTAGACGAATTAAACTTGTGAGGGAACGCAGCGCTGCTTCACTTGGTCTAACGTTACACTATCACACTAAACGGCATTTAAATGTGTGTTGAAAGTTATAATGTTATACTACATGTTAGTTTGTTTGCTATACGAAACTAGCAGTAAGCTAGATCAACATTAGAATAACATACTGACCATATTCTAACATTTCATCATGTTGAGCTAACGTTATATAACATTGATTTGTTTTATGTACATTTGCTCACCTGTCTAATAAAGCTGTCAAGTCGTGACTCGTGAAGCTCTGTCGAGTCCAAGATGTAACTTGACTCCAATCTCAAAAACGCCACGCTGATATTGATCCTCATTTTAGTTCTCTTTGTTTGTCCCAAAGTTTGCTTGCCATGGTCTATGTTTGAAAGAAACAAGAACTGTGTGCCGCTAAACGTTACGCACTAGCCTACGCAGTTGTCCACGTCTGTCGCCATGGTTACGTCATGGCTATGGCAGTATGAGCGGAAACCGAGGATAGCGCGGATATTGCGTCATTGACAGGCGACATTTTTTTCCGGGACGGCCACTTATTTAAAATGGGAATTTCTCTGAAATAAAAAATCTTTGGAGACTTTTGGGATATCGTAAGTACACAACTGCAGGAAATATATCACACTGTGCAAGTGATTTTTGGATATTTTATTACAAAATACTTACATATTATACCTTTAAGAACGGATTGCTGAAAAGTTCTTTGTTGAACCAAAAATGGTTCTTGCTATTATAGCCATCACTGTGAAAACCCCCTTTTGGAACCTTTATCTTTAAGAGTGCTGGACTAGTTGCATTTTTATGATTATTAAGGATCACGGTATCTTAGCAACATACTAATGCCAAACTCAGTTGTTAGAATCAGTTGTGAGGAGCAAAACATTGCAGTCTCACATGCAACAGTCACTGTCTGACACGGTTTTATGTTTATGCCAAATTGAATGTTTGAATCTGAAAGAATATGTCACATTTAAACTACTAAGGCTCTGTTTACATCTGTTATTAAGATGCGTTTTGGTTGATCGGATCACAAGTGGACCACGCTAAATACAGGAATGTAAAACGTTTTGTCCACTTTCGACCTCTTCCAGAGATAGTTGAAAACACATTCGACTGGATTGCTTTCGTATAGTGTAAACGCTCATGTGGTCGAATGTGTTCAAACAGCCACAAAACACCATCTACTCTCCTCTTACTGACCTAACGCATGAACATTATGGGAAGAGCTCTAGCTAGAAGGGATTTAAACTTTGTCTGCTGGAGACTCAAGTTTGGTTTGAAGATGAAAAACGTACCAAACACAATGTTCTCTCTCCATTCCTGATTTCTAACACTTGTAAACTCGCGCTCGATCGGCCCAAAGTCCGCCATCCGATCAGCACGGAAGGTCTCTGCGTATTACTGCCTTTTCTCGTGGCAAAGTATTTGTCACGATACGTGGTGGTAGGAAGGATGAGAAGACGAGGATGATCAGGAAAACAGGATTTAATTAACAAAACTCAGGAACCACAACAAACGCTATACATTAACGAGAACGGACAAAGCCTAAATGAACTGAGGGAAACTAAATACAAAGACTGGTGACAATAATGAATAGGAGACAGGTGACATGGATGAAGATAATTAACTAAACACAGGTGAATAAACTGAGGACAAACGAGGAGCGGGAAAACTGAATAGGACTAAACCAAAACACTAAGAAAAAGGGGGAAACAAAGAGTCAAACTGTAACAGTATTGTGGGTTAAATGCAATACATTTTTCAATATTCTCTCGTTATTTCATCTGACTCCATAAAATGAAAAGGTTTGTGCATCATTAAATATAAGCGAAAGTTTGACTAATTCCTTTTAACTCTAATGAAATAATATCAAAGTCAGTTAGAAGAATCATCAAATGTAACAATTTATTATGTCAGGTAAATTTATCATCAGTTCAAAGATAATCAATACAAAATATCAAATGTTCTGGAATAAAAAAGAAGACAAACCCGACATTAGGAAATAGTCTACGTGAAGCTGAGAGTCTCGGCGACTCAGCATTCATGGGCTCATCTGAGGTACAGAAAAGGCCCTGATCCTTTCGCTGCATTTCATTATATAGCCAGACCTCATCTCATATGTAAACATGAGTTTACAGTGGAAATTTACTGCGATCACCCCGATCACGATTCACTGCGATCAAGACACTTGTACCAGTCACACTGAGACATTTCAAATAATACTAAACACATGTATAAAACTGTATGATAGTTGTTCAAATTAAAACCATATAGGCGTCATGAAACTGACGCCTTGGGAATCATTTTGAACAAGCTTCAATATTTGACGGTTTAGGCACCCTTTAGCGTCAGTTACATGACGCGATCCTAGGGCGTCATCTCACTGACGCTTTACCTTTAACGTCAGTTAGATGACGCTATCTAATCCTAACCCTACCCCAGACCTAAACCTACCCGCGTCATCTAACTGACGCTAAAGGTAAAGCGTCAGTAAGATGACGCCCTAGGATCGCGTCATATAACTGACGCTAAAGGGTGCCTAAAGCGTCGAATATTGAAGCATGGTCAAAATTGTCATTTTAGTGACGCCTTGGGATGAGAATGCGTTGGATTCGTGTGTGAGTTTTGGTGATCTCTGCAAGAGTGGGGGATGCGGGGAAGAAGTGTGTGGGTGAGATAGTTCAAATGTTAATTTGCAGCAAGGTCCTTCTGTGGTCAGTGGTCAGGTCTATCTCTTCAACCAGTTTTTCCAGTCTTACACACACACTCACAGCGTTCGGCTGGTCTTAAAGCTGTCAGGGCAGAAACTAAAGCTGATGATCTCCGTGTGTTTTTCTGTTTTCTCCAGTCGTGTTCATATGTAAATTGCGTGAGCTTATTTCATCGATTAGATCGAAAGATCTGAAAAAAAAACATATATTCACCCACCCCTCGAAGAAATCAGGACAGAAGTGGATGAAAGTGGACAAAAGAGACGGATTAAAACACCAGGTGTGAACGAGTATGTGTCTCCTCTCCCTCATCTACTTGTGATCCGATCGACCAAAACACATCTTAATACCAGGAGTAAACAGGGCCTAACACAGGCCAAATGACTTCAAATATCCTCGAATATGCTTGAGAAATGAAGTCCCAGTCATAAAGACGAGCGACATCAAACACCTCAGTGCAGATTCTCTTGTAAATTATGCCTGACTTAAAATGTATAAAGCTGAACAAACAGAACATCCACAGCTAAAATTAGATATTTAATTTGGGTTTCGAAAGAATTTAATGAGAACAACCGCAGTCAGAATAACAGCCGTAAGTCCGGGAGAGAGTGCACTCCGAAGAAAGCGAGTGTCAGCTAAACGCAGGCCTTTCTCTCTGGACCAAAGCTGATTAAAACTTCCACAAGTGAACAGCAAAGTCACATTAAACCTTAAATCTCACTGGAGTTACAAAAACAGCCTGACATGGAGTTAAAATCTGGTCAAAGCTCTTAGTGCACACTTTAACGCACTTCTGTGAAGTTTTCCATCTGATGATTAACCAAAAAACAGAAGATAATTCCTGGTGGCGTCTCTAAGAACCTAAATACAGTCCCAAAAGCTCAGTCCAACAGCTCTGGCACATCAGTACAATCATCTACACACTTATGATCCATACAAAAAGGGAAAAATGAAGGCAGATTGGTTGTAAAATGACAGACATTGTTGAAAACGCATTGTGAACGAATCACTGAATCATTTTAAAACGACAATTTATCACGCATTAGTACGGAAGCGTATTGCACTCACTTGAAGAAAAAAATCGACTCTGTTTTTCTGAATTAACGAGTTAATTATCTCAGAATTACAAGATAATTTTTCATGGAAAAATTGTTTTGCTCTGTTTTTCTGAATTAATGACTTGATTATCTCAAAAACTCAGAAATTCAGAAAAACAGAGCAAAAACTTTTTTTTCCATGAAAAATGATCTCGTAATTCTGAGATAATTAATTCATTAATTCAGAAAAACAGAGTAGATTTTTTTTCTTCAAGTGAATCCAATACGCTTCCGTACCATTAGTGTTCCACCACTTTGGTTCCAGAAGTAATTTTATTATATAAGTATATTTTATTTTAAAATAGCATTATAAGTCATGAACCAAACCAACCAGCTACAAGGTGAATCACAACACTGCAAACTTTGATTCGACGCAACAACAAAAACATACACGACATGTGAGCTTTAATGAGGAAAAGAGCTACAAACCCGTGAAGCATTGAGAAGGACATCATTGAATTAAAAGCGATGGAGAAATACAAAACGATTAATTTAAAGATGTTTTTTACATCTACAGAAACAATATATTTGAAGTTTACTGCAATATATGAATATATAAATATTGAATATCATTTGCATTGCTTTATGTGATTGAAAATAAACTTTTGGCACAATTTCCAATTGATGTGATTTTCAATTGAGCATCATGGGTAATGTAGTTTTTTTATTAGTATCATGAATTTCACTGTTAAACCGGAACCTGACTGTTGCTGTGCTGAAGTATTTCATATCACCAAACCTTGTTTCTGCAAGAGATGTAAAGAAAGCGATCTGCTCTCCGAAGGCATTTGTTGAGAGACAGGACGCTCTGATGATGTCACCTCACCTGGCTCTGTGCAGTTTTTCTCCTCCGTCACATTATCAGGTGTCGATGACATCAGCCGTCGCCCCCAGTGGTCATGTGATTCCATATGAGACTCCTCCACAATCATGCCATGACCTAGAAAAACAAAACATCGGTCAAATCACTACACAACGAAGAAAGAAAGATATATGGGTTTGGAACAACATGATAAATGATGGGTAGGTTTTCATTTTTGGGTGAACTATCCCTTTAAATAGCACATTTAAGACTATATCTCTCAAAAATAAGTAGTTACTTTTATCATATGTTTGATTATGATATGAAAAAGTAGAACATAATGACTTGTTTAAATCTTTTTTGATGTCGTAAACTATTTTGTTTACATGTATCAAATTTTATATTTATAAATATATTATTCATATTAATTGAAATATTAACCATAAATAAATATAAAAATGTAAATATTAGATTAAACTAGTACATATAGCGCTTTAAACAGCAGCTTAGCATTAATAAACAGGAAAATAATGTTGTAAAATTCATCAGTTATGAAACAAATTCAATTGCTGTAAAGCCGCTCTTCAGAAAACAATTTAGTTCAATGTTGCATCAATTATGAAACGAGTTCAATTCAGCTAAAGCTCTACAGAAGACAATAGTGTCATTAAGTCAATGTTAATTCAATTTGGTTCAATAACAGTATTGATGTTGCAAAGTAAGCATCATCAATTCAGTTCATATTTTATTCTCATCTGTTGGTGTCAGTGCAGTTGAATCAATAATATTATTGAATACACCAAAAAAAAATTGCCAGTAGCGCAGAAATTGTCAACAGTGTTCTATGATTTATCAAGAAAATATCTTAGAAACTGAAAAGTTCTAGCATATATCCCACAGCAATATTATTAGAGAGACGCTGCCAGAATTAATGCACACGCAATCGCTCTCTCTCTCACTAATGCATTCATATAAATGTAATCTTTACTGTGCTTCTTTATCTGTATCTGATTTAGAACGAGCAGAAATCTGTGAGAAATAGAACGACCAAAAGACAAAAGAACAGATCAAAATAAGCTGTTATGTCAAATGCCATAACATTATTATTAATATTATAACCGTGAACAAGAAAACCAGTGTTTGAGACTCGGCTCGAGGTTCAGACTTATTTCTACATTAATGACGTCATCAGCGACTAGTCGACTCAACTTTATTCACATAAATGTAGTATTAACCTTAAATATTATTTATATTATTTTAAATACTAACCATAAATATAAAAAATATTGTTTCTACCACCATCAGAATAGAATTATACACTGCTTACAGTTTTTCTCAGTCGCTTTGGTGCATTTCTCAGATCAGAATTGAAATTCTCAAAACTACCTGTTCAATCTTCACATCATTGTGTCACTCGTGCACATCACAAAAAACAGTTTCTCATTTCTTTGAACAAGTTGCAAATGCTTTGGTACATCCATGAAAAATGATTATTCTCTGCTGTTATGCCCTAAATTAATACATGATTAACTGTAACTGTATTTTTTCTATGTACATTTCTGAAATGCACTTCCTGTAAAGCTGCTTTGAAACAATGTGTATTGCTGAAAAGCGCTATACAAATAAATTTAAATTGAATTGTTTCCTACATTGTCAATCGCTTATGTCATGTTGATCAAAATGTAATGGGTCTCTGTTGAATTGTCCCCCCCCCACAACATTTAGGCATTAGTTCATTCATAGCATAAGTCTTTACAAGCAAAATGGTTGAACAAGTTGTTGTCCTAATATGTCAAGCATATTCATATACATTTCCTTTAGACTTTTTTTTCTAAATCTGTCCTGTTCGCATTTCTTTTTTTTTTCTTTTTTTTTTTCTTTGTGCTATGCAGTGCTTTCTTTCATTTCTGTATCGCAATGACACGGTCTGTCAACAAATTACAGTACAAACAGTAAAAGCGTAAATGTGAATCTTGTCCAGTCTCTTGCAATCAAACTCACACACACACTAAGGTGTGTAACCTACAATTTACAATAATTGTCATCAAAACTTTATCCATAGTTTACATCAGAACATCTTCAGAGTACACTGTTATATTGACAACATGACTAAGCAATTTGACTGTCTTATCCTTACACAACGACACACGGACTTTTCATTCTGATGCACTGACATGTTCATTCACACAGATATTTACTTTTGAGAGATGAATAAGGTTTTTGAGCAAGAGACTGGCTTTTGCAGGGAATCCATGGTGTTTTGCTATTTGTACGATATCTTTTGAGAAATGCACTTACTGTTTTGCAAATGTCGAGGATGATTCGAGAAATGTACCAAAGCGACTGAGAAAAACTGTAATTCAACACTGTAAAAAATTATCGTGATTTATACAGATGTTAAAAGACTGTAAAAATTCTACAGTGCAAAACTGTTAATTGGTTAACAGAAAGTTTCCTAATTTAACAGAAAGTTTACTAATTTAACAACATTTGATGTAATTTTAAATTGACAGTTTTTGAAAGTGAAAAAGAACAACTCATTGTATAATTTACAGTGAAAAAAACGTGCATTGACATTCCCACGATTCCCTGCGTGACACTTCACATTTGATGTATTTTTGTTGAAATAACTATGTTTCTTCATAGTTTTCTTAGTTTTTTTCTAATCAGTTATGTACATTAGGGTTTTATGTTACGTGTAATGTTGTTAAATTAGTGTTTATTGCATTTTTAAAATTTCATGTGTGTTACCATGATGGTGTTTAATGTTTGTGCGAATAACACTGTGCAGCTTCTATATATTAGCATGTATTATATATTATGATGAGCTTTGATTGATCATGTGACTCGTCACAGCTGTGATGGTTTTTGGGTGTCAGTGGATTGCAAAGGTACAAAACAGATATTAATACTTCAATAGGTCGGTAAATTAACATTACCGGTATATCAGATAATGAAATACGGTTTATTACTGTAAATTTTAAGTTAAGTCTGTAAAACCAATAACGCTGATACCGTATTTTTGACGGTAAAGTTCTGGCAACCACAGCTGCCTGTATTTTACCGTAAAAATTATGTTTTATTTTTACACAGGCCCAGAGTGCAGCTTAACCTCATTGGCATCAAAGTATTTGAGTAACAGCACAGAATCCTGCATGATCCCGCCCTGAATATTCATTTTTCAGGAATAAAGCAATAACGCAGAAAACATTTTTCTTTAATGTGCTCTGCAATAATGTAAATGAATCATTTTCTTGTCTGAGCGAGTGAGCGGCGCCGGCAGCGTTTGCTCCACTGCAGGTGTTTGGTTCAATCGCAGGGTGTCAATTAAAGTAAACCGGCCTAAACTCAGCCCAAAACGACTGTCCCGAAACGCTGATGAGACACTCATGGACTACCTGACTAGCTCCAGGACAAAGCCATTTCACAAGGGAACTCAATTTCAGAGCTCTGGAACAGTTCAGAACAAGCATGCAAAGAAAAGAAAGCGATTTTCACTTTCCCACCTTGTTTTGATGGGGGGAAAAATATACTAAATAACATAAAATGTGGAAAATAGGGACAAATACGAGTGACGGTATTGCTTTTCTTTTCTCCAGGATTTGAAAACAGGATTTGCCTGATTCGAAAGGGAGGGTTGCATATATTCCCTCTGTCTCTGATCTTTCGTTCCTGAACCATTATAAAGGCACCGAGTCTGACGTTCACACACACATGCTTTCAAGTTTTTGTCAAGAACAGACATTCATGTTTCTGACGGTAAACGTCGTGCGTCGAAACAGATTTAATATTGTCTGTACGGTATCAGTGCAGAATAATCTTTTAAGCTTCTTGTTTTTACTGTAATTAACGTCTTTGTGTTTGATGCAGAAGGCTTACATTTAATTTGAGCTTTACTTTTCAGTTTGAGCCACAGGCATGAATGATACCTCAGATCGAGCGGCTTGTTTGTGCTTGTCTAGATCAGACTTTTCACTTGGTAGATGACAGACATGCAGACGAAACCGAGTCACATCTAGAGATTTGAGGGTTTTGACTCGGATCAGGAAGCAGAAACACCCCAGAACATCTGCATAACAACACCCTGGCAAAGACCACATTACGGCGGGGAATTATGCTTGCACATTTGGACAATTGTAATGATTTTTTAACCAGATTTGGAAGGCTGCTATAAAAGACTCAGATGAATAAATCTTTCATGAAATGTGAACACGCGTGTGTCTGTGAACACAAGATCAGCCCAGGACACACTGTGTGACGCCATCCACCATGCAACACTTGACTTTACAGAGGCAAACAAGCGAGCAAGAAGTCGAATTATTTAGAATTTACAGTATAAACAGGAACTGATTGTTTTCTTAATTACAATTAAATTAATGAAACATTCTCAAACTGCTGTCCTAACAGTGATATGTCACTTTTTTGAGGGGAAAAATGCAATTGTTCTGTAAAATACTTGCTGTAACGGCAAAATTCTTTGTTATAAAAAATACAAACTGGAAAACTGGGTTAAACGGGATCTATTATGCTCTTTTACAAAGTCTTGATTTAGTTTTTGGGCTCTATAGAATAGGCTTTCATGCTTGATTGTTCAAAAACACTTTTGTTTTTTTTACATATTCTCCATTGTTGCGGCTCGTCTCTTCCCAGTCTGTCAGTAACGCTCTGAGGGTGTGTTTCCCACACAACACCGTAACTCGCTGTTTAACTGCCATAGAAGCAAAGTTGAAGAAATCAAGTAGCTAATCACAAGACTGTATTGTCGCAAATTGGACGTTCAATCACGTTGGTTAATGACGTCACACAGGAGTGGAGTAATAACTTCTTTTAATGAATCTGTTTGAGATTGAATTAACGCTAGATGTTTTGCTATAAATTACAGACATGGCATCTGAGGACTATTTCTCATTTTTCTCAGTTATTTTGCTTTATTTCCAGATTCAATCTTAGGCTCGTTCTTACACTAGAGCTCGTTCACACATGCGCACTCTTCAATCTCTTGACAAACTAAAAGACGTAAATGACATTTGTATGTATTCTAAATAAAAGATACAGATTGTAGTGAATTTCAGCTTGCTTATTTTGCTCAAGATATGGATTTATTGAGTCCACATGTCATGCAAACAAGAAACTCTGCTTCTAACCACAGGTCTAGAGCTGTCGTTCCTAACACACACTTTGCGATGCTGTTTGCGAATGCTTGTTAGAACAATAGTTTCGGGAAACACCGACTCGTTGAACTGCTGATAACGACAGAACTTGCGACTATAGTTGGCTAACGATGCTTTCGGGAAACGCACTCCTGTTTAGTTCCTGTCTCTATGAAGCTCCTCCTTCTGAAAAGCACACTGTGCTCTGATTGGTCGACTGAATCAGTGTGTTGTGATTGGTCGAGCGCTTCGAGTGTGTTTGGGAAATGTACCGCCCCTTACCATAACCGCCAGTTTAACACACTACTAACTAACTCAACCAGGCCCCGCCCCTTTATTCTGCATATGAATTATTTAAATAAGGAATATTGTGACATGTTTGTTCCAGGAAGAAACTCAAGACTACAATGGAGGCGTTTCAGGAGTTCAGAAACACTGACACTGATATAGAGAAGAACTCCCGCTGGAGGGACTTTGAGCTCAAACAGCAACATTACACACTAAAGAAAGATGAACATGGGGAAAACATTACTGGTCCTCCAATTCAAGATACACAATAAAATGTTTAAAGCTATTATAACCGAAATCATTTTAAACTTTCTTTAAATCATGACATGGGAGATATTCTATTCTATTCTATTCTATTTCACGTGTGCAAGATACATGACGGTTATATAAATAAAGCATCATTTGCTTTGATCAGTTCAGTGTTATGCACGTGCGGTTCAGTTCATATCGTATGTTTTAGGTCATCAGAGGAATGTGACTTTCATTTGCCCCGAAACAGCCAGACTGCACCCTGGACACGCATCTCTGGTCATAAGAGACAAATCACCAAAGAATAGTGCATTCAAAATCTAACCATGTGTGCATAACGGACCCAACATACCGTCTCCGCACACTGCGGCATACGAGACAGAGCAACACACACACACACACACACACACATTTAAAACCTAGTGATCTGACTCGACTACCTACACACATTATGTGCAAAAATGCCGTTTAGATGGACAGCTCACTGGGCTTTAAACACAGCCCTGGTGTGGTGACCTGATAAGAACAGGTGCATGTGCCTCAAACACATCTCAGAGCACACAAACATCACTCATTTAAATACAAATATATTTATGATGCACAGACAGGATAGTGCCACTAATGAATCTGATAGAACATATTTGTCTATACACAACGATGCACAATACTTGTATTTAAGGACAGCTGTCCATTTCATATTCTTCTTTATAATGTCATGCAGATTGAATTTCTAACATAATCTGGAAATAATGGGATCAAATCCATTTAGAAAATCCCAGTAACACGCTTAAAACAGAATTTCATTAATATTTATAATTCTAGATTAAATAATAGTACATAACCTTGCTTTTTGTAGTCAATTCTTGGTTATTAATGGCACTCATTTATGGCAGAATTCATGCTGTAAAGGATGAAATCAATGTGTTTATCCACTAACACTCTGAAGATAAATATAGAATTGCATTAATAGTTCAATATAGAGTGAACAATAAAAAGGGAACCCATTAGTGGTTCAGCAATGTTTTAAGAAATGTTGTTTAAACTGTCAATCAAAAGCTCTTCTGACACTGAACACTTCTTATATTCCCATTTAGGAATCGCACTGAAGCATTATGGGTAGATTCTGTCACATTTCTCCGGGGTTTGATTGACAGGTTCCGCTCGGACTCACCTGTCCTGGTCAGGATGGTGGACATGCCCCACGCCACGAACAGAACACTGCAGACCAAACACACCTGCGCCAACAGCATCTCCCTCCTCTTGCGCACTCGGAACATCTTGGCGATGATGGATTTCTTGGAGACCCTGGTCATGGTGTGGTCCTGATGCTGCTCCTGATCCGCGCTGGTCATCGTCGAGCACTGATGGAGAGACGTGTAGAGAGAGCGCGATCAGAGGTCTGGATCCAGACACAGAAAACCCCAGCCTTCACTGTCCCAGATCCCTGCTCTCATCAGATTCCTCCCAGCCGCATTGCAACAACACTGGGAACGTTAAATTCCTGCATGATGCATGCATCCTGCGGCGTCGCGTGCGTCTGTCGTGAAGCGCGCGTGTGGAAATAACATCGATCTCGGCTCTCAGGTGATGTCCTTCAGTCCCTCTGCTTGTGAAAGCGTTCCTGCTCTTCCCATCTGAACGTCGGGAACTTTGCGCTCCTCCGGTGTCCACCCGAGACACGTGACGCGCTGCGATCCGGTGCATTCGCGGGGATCCGACGCGTCACGGCTCCTATATACCGAGAGAGCGAAGGCATTTAACACTGACGTGCTATCATGTGCATGCATACTTTCATTAATGCATGTGCAAATGAACAAGAAAAAAATCTGCGCAATTA